ACTAAAAAAAAAAAATTCATTAACTATAAAAAAATATATATTTTAACAAAAAATAATTTTTTTTGACGACGACAACCCCCGCCGCAAAAAAAATAAAAAATAAAAAAATTTGAAAAAACATTTCAAAGTAACCTCTTAGATAATTGATCTTATGTACTACTATAATCAGGCAACACCTCATCTGGGTAACAAAAAGGGAATGGGAAAAAAAAAATGTTACCTACCTCTCACAGTTCATCACAACATCTGCACCAGCATCTGGCTCACATTTGCGCGTCTGAACATAGAACTCCTCAGGCTTATAAGCAACATCCTAGAAAATATGTTACAGCAATAAACATCAAACTCAATGGGTAACATTAAAAGAGGGGAATAGGGAATTAAAATGAAACAAGAAATGGAAAAACCAAAAAAAAAACGTATGTTTCAAATGCAGACATGTGCTTACCACATTGGCCAACAAGTTCATCACTCAAAGTACGTCCATGAAAATTTGGCTAAAAATCATCATTCTCCGATGGCATTACATTAATAAAAAGTTAATTAATCAACATAACAACTTCAAAATTTTGGTTAACTAGTCTCAATCATTTCAACACGTTCGTGTCCACAATAACTTAATTATAACAATCAAGCACCATGAGTTTAGGGGGTCAATCCTGTACACTACTATTCTGAAGGTCAGGGGGTCAATCGTTGTCTATAAGGCTGTATTATGTTGGTTATTTATTGCAGTTGATTATTGGGCTTGAGTTGTTATTTTCTTCTCATTACAAACAAGTAATGTAATGCTTCTCATATTTATAATTGAACTCCTATCGATTAACCAAAAAAATTAAATTTAAAAAAACAAAAATCAAGCACGATGGATTCACTCTTCAAAAACACTCCCTTACAATTTCCAAAGTAAAAAAACACTGGAAATACATTAAAAACATAGTACCAAGTTAGTAATTAGTAAATAAACCTTAAGTTACCAAAATCAGTTCTATAACATACCCGCATATATGTCAACTCATACAGTGCATAGACGGCCGATTTGTTAACTGTGATCACAGGTGGGAATCGCAGAGTTCGCATATCCGCAGTAGAATTCTCCTCCACCTCTACAATTTCCGCCACAATCGAGGCCTCTCTCCCACTCTGACAAACAACAATTCTATATCAAATCACATATACATCATTACATAGATATACACACTCATAATTTTGGTCATTGTGTCATTTTGGTCTAATAATTTCAACTGGATCAATTGACCCTGAATTTTTTATTTTGTCTCCAATTGGTCCAATTGCTTTCAATGGTTAACATTTTTTTATAGCAAATGTGCATACGAGCGGCATGTGTCATACTTTTATGAGCAAAATTATAAACTTGATCAATTCAGTAATTTAATCTCAACTAACTCAATCAAAATTTTATGTCAAAAACCCTACCGACGTTGTCAATTGCACTAAATTGAGCAAAATCTAAAATTAATAATCAAAATTGAGCCAATTGAAACATGAGACAAGCGGCACAATGTAGGGACTACCGTGTATATATATACATGTATGGATCTGAAACTTTTTAGAGAGAGAATGTGAGGGGAAAGAGATACCGATTCACTGGGAATGGCCATGTTAATGAGCATTTTGGTGGTGCAATTGAGGCTGCCGGAGTCAGAAACCTTGTCGCACCTTTCAAGCTTTGATTTGGAGAGAATTTGGGGGCTGGAGAGGGAATGGAGAATGAGATGATGAGAGAGAAGGTGAGAGAAGATGAAGATGAGAGAGGGAGAAGGTTTCATTTCGTTTGAAGAGTGACCAAGTGGGTGATTTGTTGATGGTGGAACTGTCCGTCAAAGTAGATAAGTGTCGATAAAGAATCACCCGAGAAGTTGTTTATTTTGAACAACACAAAGTCATAAAGCAACCTGTGAAAAAAATTAATAGTATTACACCAAAAAAAAAAATCACAATTATGGTTGATAAGCCTACCCACCATCTGTCAATTTACAATCACTACTTTTACTACCAAAAAAAAAAAAAAACAAATATTAACTCCACACCTAGGCCAAACAAAAAAAAGTGAATAGGAGAAACAAAATTAAAAAAGAAGAAAAAATCCACTAAAGTTGTGTTTGGATTATAAATTTAAATAGGGTTTTGCAAACAAAAAAAAAAAACGATGAGAGAAATGCAAATGAAATATAAGCCAAATTTTTCTCCATTTCCTTTATGTTTCCTTTCCTTTTTCAAATCCCTACCCACTCTATGATCCAAACATAACCTAAATATATGATTGAGCCTCCGTTTGGGAAGTGAGTTGGCTTTTTGGCTTTTTGGCTATTTTAGCCTGGTTTGGGAAGGGCTTTTTGACTTTTTGGGCTTTTTTTGTGAGAGAGGATTGTAATGATTATGGGTTGGATTTGATGTTTTGTTTTTTGTGGCTAAAATAACCTATTTTGTTTTTTGTGGCTATTTTAGCCAAAAAAGCCTGGGCTTTTTCTTGCCAAACGGAGGCTGATTTCAACTTGACTTTTGTTAAATGGAAAACCCAGAAATTATGTGTATCAAAAGATGAGAATAAATATCCACAGGATTATATCAGAGAGATGAGAGAGAAAGAGAGCGAGTTCTTCTGATCCTGTTCCCTCTCCTCTTCTCCATATCTCCCTCAATCTCCATTCTCTTCCCTCAAACCCCCACCGGTCCCCCCCACCCCCTCTCTCTCTCTCTAGAAATCACACACAACAGCCTTGGTCCAATTCACAACTCTCTCAATCAATCAATCCAAGCAAGCCCCACTCAAAAAAGGTTCGTCTCTCAAATCTCAATTCTCATCGATTCCAACAATTACACATCTCTTGCTATTTCACCATTGTTTCTGATTGTTTTCCACCATTCATTCATTCTGAGTTCTTTTGTTGTGTTTTTCTTATCGCAGGCATGGTACGATGCTTCAATCCCGTCGAATTTGAAGGGAAAAAAAAAAGAAGAGGAAATTGAGAAGTTATTGAGTGATAATCTCAGAGTAACAATGTATATAGCATATGTATAAGAATATGTGGATATTCATAAATCTATTGATATTCATCCATCAATATCTGTAAAAAAATAAAATAAAATAAAATAAAAAAAGGAAATTGAGAAAGCATGAATTCGAAAAACATAGTCAACAATATTCAAACAATTTCAATTCTGTTATATCCAGAACGCGATTCAGATTCAAAACAGTTATACAGATTGGGGGCACGGCTATGTTCGTTTCTTTGATAAAATTATCAAAAGATTAACTAATGAGAATTGAAATGCAGAAAACTTCACTTTTGTGAGATTATTCAAAGAAGTAGATTGAATGAACTTGATCTTCTTCAAGAAAATTGTAAAGTGATTGATTCCAAACATATGTATCGAAATGTGGATACAGATTCAAAACAGTTATACAGATTGGGGGCACGGCTATGTTCGTTTCTTTGATAAAATTATCAAAAGATTAACTAATGAGAATCGAAATGCAGAGAACTTCACTTTTGTGAGATTATTCAAAGAAGTAGATTGAATGAACTTGATCTTCTTCAAGAAAACTGTAAAGTGATTGATTGCAAACATATGTATCGAAATGTGGATATCTTGATCAAGGATTTAACAAAAACACGTCAGAAAATTTAAAGCAAGAAGGCGAACTGTATAAGCAGAGAGAGTGATTACAGAATTCGAAGATATTGAAACTGATTTAGAACTGCTGTGCAGTTTGGAAACGTGGGGGTGGTTGAATTGGTTGGTTTGAATTTATAGATTCAAGATTAAGGCCTGTCTCCACCAGAATTTGAAGTTGTTCGCTTGAACAGAAGGCGCAGATTCGAAGGTTGAATTCTCTCTGTCTGTGTCTCAGTCTCACTCTCTGTACTCATCTCTTCATCAGATTCGAAGGTTGATTCTCCAGATTTGCAGTTGTCTCTTTTGATTTTGTGAGTTTCAATTTGTGTAGGTTTTTTTATTTTTAATAGATTTTTTACATTCTAACTCAGATCTGGCTTCTCTCTTCTGATTTTCTGTTTTTATTAGATCTTATCGTTCATCAATTGGTCGATTAATCTACATAAAAGTTTTATTTGATTTCGATCTTTCTCTCTGTCTCTCTCTCTCCTTTTCTTTGTGTATACAGTTATATATATATATATATATATTAGTGGTTAAGGCACACGCGCTGTTTAGTCAATAAAAATTGAATTAACCAACGTTACTTTTCAATTGGTAAAAATTTTAATACATTCTTATTTAATTTGTTTTTGTTTTTTTAATTTATATATTCAATTGAATAATTTTTTTTTTCTGAATTTGATATGATATATATACACATATTTTCATATACTTTTACATTATCTTAAATAAAATAAAAATATAGGGTTAATGGGGTGGATATTAATTCTTCATCCTCATTCTCTTATAATTATTTTTTCTCATTCCCCATTCTCCATGGGTACTACCCTCCACGTCTCTTAATGGATATGGATATTCCCCAACCCAAGTTTACCCTCTATTTTTTTATTTTTTTTTATTTTTCATTTTTAAGATTCACAATCAAAACTAAATATACATTCAATCTTCTTCTTTTTTTAAAGGTTTACAACCATTTTTATTTTTTTATTTTAAAGATTCACAACCAAAACTAAATATACATTCAATCTTAAAATTTTTTTTAAAAAAAATGGTTATGAACCTTAAAAAAAATGAAATAAAGTAAAGATTGAATGTATATTTAGCTTTGGTTGTGAATCTTAAAATAAAATAAAATAAAAAAATAAATTGGTTGTGAACCTGAAAAAAAAAAATAAATAAATAAAAGAAAAAAGATTGAATATATATTTAGTTTTGGTTGTGAATCTAAAAAAAAAAAAATTGGTTATGAACCTGAAAAATAAATAAATAATAATAATAAAAATATTGAATGTATATTTAGTTTTGGTTGTGAATCTTAAAAAAAAAAAAAAAAAGGCAAACATATGGGGAAATTAGTAGGGACCCATCCCTTGTGGATATTTAAAGAATATCATTTACCCTACCCAGTAGATAAGATAAAAAAAGAAAAACCCATATATTTGGGTTGGGTCTCTCTTGATACTCACAGAGTAGGTTATCCATTGACATCCCTACTATTTCCCATCATTTCATTTGTAAACTAAACAAATAAGGTACTTTCTTTTTCTCCTTATTTTTGTTTCTCCTTCATCATCTTTCCCTTACACCATTTTGCTTATTCTTCTGTTCAATCGCCTCTCTCTCTCTCTCGCTCTCTTTCTATTATTTCCACATCTTCCCTCGTTACTAGAACAAATAAGGTATTTTCTCTATCTAGTATTCAATTTAGAACTGTTGTGCAGTTTGGACACATGGGTAGTGAAATCGATTGGTTTGAATTTATCATGTTACCCTTAACTATAAACTGATATTAGTGTAAAAATAATATAATTATTTAAAAAGTTATGGTCATTTTAGAAAAAATGGAAAAAAATTTCTAAGCGAAGCTTCAGGACACCAAAATTCTTGTTGGCTTTTAATAATAGTATAGATAGTATAGACACGAGACCTTCACAAACGCTGAAACCACTACCATCATCATCAACGCCGTGAAGATCATATGGTCCACATTCCTCCCAAAACCAAACACTGCGCAATCGATAACCCCCTCATCACCGCCATCTTCCTCAGCAACCCTAAGTACCGAATCACCCGGTGGTCATTGTGGTCGTAATCGTAATCGTAATCTACTCCGTTTAATAAATAGCAATCTGATGATTTCTCGCAATCCATGAAATCTTCGACTCGGTGACAATGGGCGGCGGTGTGTAATCTAGGACTGGTGTTGGCAGTGGTGGCGACACCGGTGGACATGTGTTCACCTTATATATAGTATAGATAGATACATTATATATAGTATAGATATAATGTGTTACTTAAGTAGTTAGTGTTTTCTTCATACAACTGAAGGTCGAAGGTTCGAGTCTTTCGCATTTTATTTATCTATTTTTTAAAAAATATTTAAATAGAAACATGGACACTTGGCAACATAAGAAGCCAAGGCTTCATGACACCATAAATGGTGATCATTTTATGTATAGTATAGATATATATATCAGAGATGTGCAGTTTTGGCAGGGCGTGTAACTGCTTCCAACGGTTGGGTTTTGGGGTGTTTTGGAATGGCATTTTTTGGGGCTTTTTTTTTTTGGAGGGGGTCTATTTTTGTCTTTAATGATTTTTTAAAAAAAATTCAAGCTGTGTTGGTTATGTATTCCAAACACATTTTCACCTACTGATTTAAGTGTGGTGTTTATTTTGAACTTTTAAATTATAATTTCACACCTACTTTTAAAAACTACTTTCCAGATCGGAAAATTTGGCTAACCCGGTCGTCCTCCCGGACATCCGGTTGGTTGACCGAAACAGTATTCTTTTTCTTTTTTTTTTCACCTGTCATTTTTATATTGCAAATAAAAAATATTTTTAAAATTTTTATATGAGTTTTGAATAAAATTTTGATGTGTGTTTGGTTATATGTTGCAAATTTTTTAATCAAATAACTTTTCTAATTTCAAAAATTCAAAATTCCCTCCAAAACTCTTTTGAAAACTCATAACCAAATAAATTTTCTACACTCAAATCATAATTTCAAAACTCACAAATTCAAAATACAACTCTATTCTCTAATCATATTTATAAAACTCTACCAAACGCTACCTTAGATTTTTAGATTCAGCTCGACAAAAATAAGTTAAAATAATTATTTTTTTCGTCTTTAGTGATTTTTTTTTTAAAAAAACAAATCAAAACAAATATACTTTTTAGATTCATCTCGACAAGACAGAGCAAAAAAAATAAAATATTTCGACATAATTTTGAAAAAAAATTACTACAGATAAAAAAAATTAGAGTGAATTACACTGACACCTCGTGAATTGTAGTCCAATTACATCTCACCACCTGACGTTCTGGAAATTACATTCTAACACTTGTGGTTAATAGTCTCATTCCACAAACTCCCTACTTATATAAAAGGTAACAACTACTAATAGAAAAACAGAAGAAATTATATTGGCAAAAAAAAAAAGTAAAGCAAAGAAAAAAAAGCAGTGGAAGTAAAGCAAAGCATAAAAAAAGAGTGCATGAGTTTAATATTTTCATTCCGTCTAAATAATTACAATGACTAGGGGGTTAGTGTAATTTCTCAAACGTCAAGAGATGATAAGTATTGAACCCAAGCCACAAGGGGTGTAAGTGCAATTTACCAAAAAAATTTAAAAAATATGTATTTCTTTTGGATAAATTACACTGACACCCCTTGAGATTTTGGTCCAAATACATTCCACTTCCTGATATTTTAGAAATTATATTCTCACCCTATGATTAATAATCTCATCTCACAAACTCCTCATGCTTATATAAAAAGCAAGAACTCCTAGTAAAAAATCACATAAGAAATTACATAGGGAAAAAAAAAAGGTAAAGCAAATGAAAGGAGAAAAAAAACAGAAGAAGTAAAGCAAAGTAAGAAAAGAGAGTGCATAAGTTTAATGTTTTCATTCTGTCTAAATAATTATAATGATAAGAAGGTTAATGTAATTTCCCAAAATTAGGAAATGATATATATTAAATCCAAATCTCAAAGGAGTGTAAGTGTAATTTACCCTCCTTTTTTGGGGGCCAAAAAGGGCCCTGCAACCTTGGGCTCCCTAGAATTGATACATATTGAATTGAATTGGGTTTTAGTCCATAACATGGACTAAAGGTATGTAAGCTGTAAAGTCCACCTTAAATTTCGATTTGATATGCACGTATGTGTATTTTAAATATATATATATATGATTAGATAATTATAATATTTTTATTTTATTATATTTATTTAAATATATATATATGAATGTGTTTTAAAGAAAAGTAATGATATATAAATTTTTTATACAGAATTATATAGGTTAATCTAGACTTTTCATTTCAAAACATAATTGTGGGTGTTGATTTCCGACCACACAACCAAAAAAGGGAACTCAGTTGGAGAGCACCGACAGAATAGATTAAGCCCAACAACCTACACAAGAATATGAGAATCCGGCGATGGTTCGTGTCACGACCCAAACCCGTCCCTATAGGTTTAGCATCGTAACCGGCCAATAATCCTGAACTTACCGAAGGCCTCTGAAATAAATTAACATAATATTAGGGGCTAGCGGAAATAAATAATAAATATACAATGTCCATTGAGCTGTGCAGACTTGTTTGGGACAGAAAGTTTCTAAACTTTTATATACATATATACACATCATTCTTACGTCATCATATATATGCAGATTAGACAAAAAGGGACTTAACCCTATTTACAAAATGCACAAAGACTTGTTTAACCAAACAAGAAAACAAAACTTAAACTTTAAATCACGTAGCCATAACCACTTGACATATTCGGAACCTTCACGGGAGACACATAGGTTGGCTGATAAAAACAGATTCCAGGCAGATGCCTCTAAGCTTGGTCACGCGCCTGATCACCTACATACATAAGTAATACAGTGAGCTGGAGCCCAGTAAATAATAACAACGTAAAGGGTTTTTATAAATATACATTATTACATAGATATACACACTCATAATTTTGGTCCTTGTGTCATTTTGGTCCAATAATTTCAACTGGATCAATTGACCCTGAATTTTTAATTTTGTCTCCAATTGGTCTAATTGCTTTCAATGGTTAACATTTTTTTATGGCAAATGTGCATACGAGCGACATGTGTCATACTTTTATGAGCAAAAATTATAAACTTGATCAATTCAGTAATTTAATCTCAACTAACTCAATCAAAATTTTATATTAAAAACCCTACCGACGTTGTTAATTGCACTAAATTGAGCAAAATCTAAAATTAATAATCAAAATTAAGCCAATTGAAACATGAGACAAGCGGCAAAATGTAGGGACTACCGTGTATATATACACATGTATGGATCTGAAACTTTTTAGAGAGAGAATGTGAGGGGAAAGAGATACCGATTCACTGGGAACGACCATGTTAATGAGCATTTTGGCGGTTCAATTAAGGCTGCCGAAGTCGGAAACCTTGTCGCACCTTTCGAGCTTTGATTTGGAG